CTGACAATGAACACGGAAAGGATTAAACCTGAAAATCCTGAACTAAAAAAATAATTAGTTTATATAATTTGTATCTAACGGATTATTGTATTATTTTATTTTAAACTGTAATGACTCTACTCTTTCAGAAATTAATCAAATTGCAAGAGAATAAAAACAATGAACAATTTGTCAAAAAAATCTATAGACATTACATACAGTTGCGAATGAAACAATTATACAGTAAATTAAATGTTGATAGAATAATCTCAGGCGACTTCTTCATCAAAGCACATTTTCAAAAATGTGAAAGCAAATATTCAAACTTGCTGCTTTGATTCAAAAATCTGCCTGTCGCGAAATACCTTCTTGCACATAAAACTTCATATATTTTTTTACGGAATGAATTCTAATTTATATATTTCAAATTGTATTGAATGTATTGTATATTATACATGTTTTTTATTATATATATTATATATTTCAAATTGTATTGAATTAATACTATTATAAAAAAGAAGTTGAACATTATTAAATATTATAAAAATTATTAATTATCAATTATTAATTATTGTACAAAAACATATCACCAGTATTAATAAGTAATAACTGCATATTTCATAGCAATGAAATCGGAAGGTATTCACCTTCTTTATTACAAAATGCTCAAACGAAATTATTTTAATAATAATTATTTATAATTTATCTATTCATATGGACATTCATATGAATACTTTTCTTTTGCAAACATTTATATTGAATATATTTTGATTTTACAAGTAATTACTATAACTCTATATGTTCAAACTAATTGTTAAAATTGTTAAAATCACGATGTGCAAGAAGCCCTATCCTGATCTAATACATAAAAAACCTGAAAAAGATGTTACTACTCACAGATATAAAAAATATCTGCGGTCACTATGCTCGTTAAAAATTCTCGTATACAACCAGTCACTCGTGCCGATTCGGACCTTTCGTCCTACGACATGATTGAGTGACCAGAGGAACAAAAATGCATGCGACTCACTGCGAAGAACGATGTATGGAACGATGTATACTGGACGATCATCTGGACCAAGAGAAGTCGTCGTGCATCAAGTAGACACCGCTGAGAATCCCATGGTGGAGTTGAACGCCGAAAAATTTCTTGAAAAACATAAAGACAGTGTTATTTGTGAAAATTTAAATTTTAATAATGATAAAAACTAGAGCTCTGATAATTAGAAATGTTTTTATTTTATAGTTATAATTTTACATTAGACTTCAATGGAAAGAGAACTATAGAGAATAGAATTAATTCAAGTACAATGTGCTATAGTACTTACATTCTTAACTTTTGAAGCATCATAAGATTCTTAGAAGATAAGGGGGAC